CAGCTCGATGAATAAATAAAATGTAGGCTAGCCATGCAGTGGAATATTATTTGGCAATTGAAAGGAAAGTACTGATAAGTGATAAAACATAACCTTGAAAACATGCAACATGAAAGCCAAAAACAAAAGAATACGTGTCGTATGATAGTGTTTACATGAAATAACTGCACATCTGTGGAGACCGAAAATAGATTGGTGGTTGCCTGGGGGCTAGGTAGTAGTCCCCAACCTTTTTGGCACCAGGGACTGGTGCTCCTATGAGAATCTAATGCCTGAGGATCTGAGGTGGAACTGAGGGTGATGCTAGCACTGGGGAGCACTACACACACAGATGAAGCTTCCCTTGTTGGCCAGCCGCTCACCTCCTGCTGTGCGACCTGGCTCCTTTCAGACCACGGGCCACCGGTCTGCGGCCAACGCTTTGGGCCCTGGGATAGGGGATTGGGAAGTGGGAATGGCTGTTATGGGTACAGATTTCTCTTTGGGGTGATAAAATGTTTTAAAATTTTAATATTCAGAGTGGTTAGACAACTCTGAATATTACTAAAAACCATTGAATTTTATACTTTAAATAGATGAATTGCACAGTATGATTATGTCTCAGTAAAGCCATAGTTAAAAAATAAGAAAGATGAAACATGTAATGGATTTACCAGACCTCCAGGATTTGTCAGTTGTACGTGTGTTGTTATTCACAGAGAAAATATAGTAGTTTTTTAGCAATAGGCTACTGAAAAAGCAGTTCATAGAACAGATGCTGGAGAATTCTTCAGTAGTATTTCCTCCTTATACAAAAAAGTACATCATTAAATCACCATTTTTTCCTGATTTTGTACCCATTCAAAATTGTATATGTTGGTGTGTATCTCTGTATACTTCATGCAGTTGTACTATTTTTCTGGTTTTTAAAATTGGCACAAATCAAAGATGTTCCCAAAGTTCTACTAATATCATTGGTAATATGCATGCCTTGGAAACTTGTCCAGCTTTTGTTCTCATTTGATTTGGGGCCCCATCCTATTCCCTACTGACATCTAAAGAATGATAATGGGATTATAGTTTATTTCAAAGGCAAAAGCTGAATTTTGATAGTTCTTATAGTAATAAGTTTTGGGACATGTGAACATGGGATAACAGGTTTTTTTGCTATAGTAAGCAGAGTTCTGACTTCATTCCATTATAAATAGGCACTAGAAATGTGCCCTTAGTTTTCCTAGAGTGACCTATTTCAGGAAATAATAATACAACTCAATTCCTTATGGAGGCATTGTCTCCTGTTGGATACTAGAAAACTCAATTTTCCTTTGCCTATATCAATATGGTAACCAGGCTAGAAAAGAAAGATGTGCTGTTGGCTGTCCAACTGGTTCATAGCCATGACAATAAACGACTTTTTATTGTGGAAATTAAATGTGGCCACAACGACCAGAGTATACTCTTGGTCATTTTGGTTAGCTTCTATGGTTAATTAATTGATTGAGAACTATCTATATGGTTGTTTTATGAACATTTAATGACATCCTTGGCCAGTGGAAAATATTTAGAGGTGTAACATTCTGAAAAGAGCTGAGCCATGGTTCTGTCAGATTCTAACTGGAATTTGGGTTTAATGTAATTTAATTATATTTCTTATTATGAAATGGGGTTACTAGTTACTTAACAAGGAATGGTGATTAATGCTTGACAGTGTAGATGCTCAACAAATGTTTTTTACATCTGATCGCCAACATCCTTTGCATGGTTCTTAGATCCATGGTAACTCCTTTCTTCAGGTGTCTGTGGACAGAATTTTAGGGGTTCCATGAACTAGAACGGGGAAGATCCTTTTTATTATGAGTATAGGTAAGAAACCAAACTAGTAGTCTTAGCAACAACTGTGAATAGTGGGACATAAATATTCAAATTATTGTTGCGCATATCAGTAGACTCACCACTGGATCATGTTATATAAAACTTTAAAAATATTTTAATAATCATATTTCGGTGAAATTGGTTTCCTTTAAAAACCCTCGTATTTTGTGTATGTAAGAACATTATTCTAAGAAAGGGCCCATAAGTTTCACTAGACTACAGGAAGGTTCTGTGGCACCAAAAAAGGGTTAGGGACCCCTGGAAAGCCATGGTTTTCAACTGAGGCTGCATGTTACAACCACCTGGGAAGTTTTTTTTTTTTTAAAGTGATCTTCCAAGCCTGTTTTTGGGAATTCTTATTTGATGGACCGTGGGGCTTGAGCATCTTTTTAAATCCCCTTTATCCCAGTTGATTCTAATATGCTGTTTGGGTTGAGAATCACTAAAGTGATGGCTTTATTTTGGTAAGGAGACATTTATACTTCTTGCTGCAATTATGTTGGTCAAATATGCTATCTTCTGAGTTTTTGTTTGTTTGTTTTGTTTTTTTAAGAAATTATGGTATACATTAATTTGGTAGGTTAATTTTCAGCAAGTGGTTGTTGAGAGCTTTGGTCTCCCATCGGGCTGCTTTGAAACACTAATTAACTTTGACTAAAGCAATTCAAGTATAGATTAGCTGTTTTTTAGTTCCTGATTTAAACTTCTTGTATCATATTTACTTCTTATTTTATCATTAACATTTATTGTTTGGTATCTTATGAATTAAGATCCTAGTTTATTTAAAAATATTTTTAAGGTTTATTTTTTCAAGAAGTATCCCTTTGAAAGAAGAAGTTATTTTGTTGTATCCAGGTGCCCCTTCAACAATGTCTAGCACATACTAGGCACTGAGCAAATATTTCTCAGTGAATAGTAAAAATTCAAACAGCAGAAGAGTATGTAGTGTAACATAAGTGTATGTAGCATGTGTGTCTCCCCAGCCCTCCCTTTTTTAACCCAATATTGTAGAGATTGTTCTATGTTGCTGCCTTGCCTTTTTTTTTTATAGTGACTACAAGTTCCATAATATATGTAACCAGTTCTTTTGTACATGATTATTTAAATTACTTCCAGTCTTATGCAACAAAACAGCCTAGTAGCTGACTATTCTTCAATATACATCCTTGTGCACATGCGGCTAGCATATGTTGCCAGGGGTGGAATTCAAGGTCAGACATTCACATTTAGTTTTGATCAGTGTTACTACTTGCCCCTGCCAACGATGAGAAAATGTTTGTTTCTACATACCCTTACCAGTGCAATGCAGATTATAAAACAGGTTGATCTCTGTCATGTTTTACGTTTACATTTCTTTTGAATGTTTAAACTTCATTGTTACTTTTTCTAGGAACTATTTAAATACTTTGCCTTTTTTTTTCTTTTTCTTTTTTTTTGTTGGCTGGTCTTCTGTTGACTGGACTTTATGTTAATAAATTTAGTACTTTATGTGTTGGGGATATTTTTTAAGTTTGTGTTTTGACTATGATTATATTTTCGAATGCACAAATTTAAACTTCATGAATGAAGCTCACTCTTTTCAAAGGCTTCTGATGAGCCTTTCTCATGCAAAGATAAATTTCAACATGTTTTCCTCTAGTTCTTTTTTTTTTTTCTTTTTAACGTTTAAGTCTTTGCTCTTACTTTAGTTTTGGTAGAAAGGGTAAAATAGGAATTCAGCTTTATTTTGATAAAGTTGACTTTGCAGTTAATCTAACACAATACTTTGAATAATACACCATTCTAACTTGAAATGCCACCTTTATTATTTGCTGATTTTTCCATGTATTGCTCCCTTTCTGAACCAACCTGATTCAGTGCTTGGTTTGTCACCATTACCAAACTGTCATTTTATGTTTTAATATGTGGGTGGGGCCAATAGTCCTCCTTTATTAAACTTTTCTAGTTTTAGTTTCTTGAGGAATCTATTTATGAAGCTCTTGCATATTAGTAAAACGTAATTTTGATGCAAAATTACATTAGTCTTTTAAAACATGTTTTCTTTCTAAATTATATGTATCAGTGGTAGAAACTAATTTATTTTAAAGAAAAGATTATATTTCTCCCAGGTATTTTTTTTCTAAAAAGATGACTTAAACAAATTTCCTAACTTGTGTTTGAACAGAATTGTTCTGAAATATTAATTGCCACTACCAGGGCTTAGAATATATCAAAAGATAGGAAGGGGGGAAAAATCACCTGTACTTCCATCATTTGTCATCCACATGACCACTAAACATTTTAGTACAATCTTTTTAACCTCTTTTATTTCAGATTTCTTTTATAGTTTTCATTATGGTGTATATGCAGTTTGTGAATCATGTTTTTAAAGCTTTTTTATAAAATGTTTATGTCATTCTGTACTTTTCCTTTGTGGCTCGGGATAAATGCACTATAGCGGTGTTTCTCAAGGTTGGTCCAGGGACTCTGGGGGTTCCTAAGACTTTCAGAGGATCTGTGAGTTCAAACTGTTTTATCATAAATTTAAGATATTGTCTGCCTTTGTCACTCTTAATTTGTCGTGAGTGTACAGTGGAATTTTTACATGATGTGATATCACAACAGATCAAATACAAAAGCATATGTGAAAATTTTTTTAAGTCAGACATTTAAACAAATATATGTATAAAACAAGGGTATTCTCATTGAATTTTTAATAGTTATTTTTCATAAAGATGTTATTTATGTTAACATGTAAATTTTATTCGAACACTAATGAATATTTAATGTTTTTGTCTGTTTAATTTCTAATATAGTAAATTTGAAATAACTCAAACAAAAGCTCTTTGGCATACTCAATAAGTTTTCAAAATCTAAAAAGGGTCCTGAGACCACAAAGTTTGAGAAATGCTCTTCTATAGTATTTAATATAAAAGATGGGTTTATTTAAATTTTAAAATGTCTTCTGAAAGTATGTAATCACTTTTGTTTTTATGCAGTTGACTTAAGATAACATATATAGATTACAGAAAATGCAGGCCTCTTATAAGAGGACATTTTTATGCTTTGTACTGTGATATTGTATCCAGGGACTGATATATTGTGCTTGAATTAAATTAAGCATGAGATTTTTAAAACAATAACTTCAGTTCATTACTTTTTCTCCCCAGGCAGCTGAGTATGTCCCAGAGAAGGTGAAGAAAGCTGAAAAGAAATTAGAAGAGAATCCATATGACCTTGACGCTTGGAGCATTCTCATTCGAGAGGCACAGGTTTAGTGATATAGGATTACATTTCCTTCTCTATGGGTCCAATCACACTACTTGGTTCTGCAGTAAATATTTTCATAATCCTAACATTGTAAATGCTGTTTATTGGTTTTCAATTTTAGAATCAACCTATAGACAAAGCACGGAAGACTTATGAACGCCTTGTTGCCCAGTTCCCCAGTTCTGGCAGATTCTGGAAACTGTACATTGAAGCAGAGGTTAATATTTTATTTTACTTTTCTTATATAGCATCTGATGGGAATTGTAGCATACACTATAGTGGTAGAAAACAAGTTAGGAACATAGATAGCACAACTAGGACAAGGAGGATTTAAATGTTTCTTGCCTTTATTTTGTAAAATAGGTATAAAGGAGTAATTAAAATGAAATTTTGAAATTTGGGTCTTTACAAGCTGATGATTGTTGCATTTTGGAGTTGCAACAACATTAAAACAGTTTCAATGGTATTGGAGTGCTTTAGCCTTTTATTTACTTGTCATGTGTCAATTTATTGCCTCCTGTGTCATTTATTTAGAGCTCATTTTTCTTTTTATTCCTACTTACAAACTAATGTGAACTACTGGTTATAAGAAAATACAGTAATGTTAATTTAGTTTCATAGGTGTTTTGAATGTCTCTGGTTAAATGAAACACTTAGATGGAAAATTTATTTCAGATTTTAATTTTGTGAAAATACATGGTTTGTCAATAAATGTAAGCACTTCAATAATTTAAAAAAAAAATTTTTCTGTAGGATAAAGTTTACATTACACAGGAATAAGCTAATGTGACTCAAACCTATATAATCATAATTTACCCCATGATACTGTTTTTTTATTGCTTTCTAACTGTCTTGATATACGAAGTCAGGCATTTTAAAGAGGAAGGGCCTCATTTGATTAGAAGGGAAATGTTCATTTTTGAAGACTGGAATTAGCAGTCAAGATGATAATAAAGCATTAATATATCGATAACAATTGACACCAAGTAATCATTTCTCAGGTTATAAAGTAATGGAATGAAAGGGGTGAGATGGGAATAATTGGTATCCACATTAAGTTGAAAATGATATCCATTTCTTTTAATAACTTACTTTACTTATGAAGTATTTTTATTTCGAATATTAATTTCGTAATATAAATTCTCAACATAGTCAAGTACACTGCAGCCTCGTCATAACATTTTCCACAATAGCTGAAATTCGATAATATGTGAGTCTGTTTTGGACCTATTCAAAGGGCTTTAGTCATCAGCAATACTGAACAGACTTCAACACAACACAGTGTTACCTGTGATGTGTCCCTCAGAGTGGACTCAATCAACAGCACTTTTAAATTGAGGCTACAGTGTACTCATTGTATTTGTGCTATAGTTTATTTTGTATTTGGGAGGGGGGAATTACTGGACAATAGCAGGAACATTGTGTGTTAAATTTTTTTGTGTGTGGTTGTACATGTGGCATGTGTGTTTGTGTGTATGTATGAGAGAGATTGTACCTTATGTGAAGTCTGGTTGTGGTTTTGGCCCAAGACCATATCCTTAAGGTTTCATCACTTATCCTTTGGGACCATTTCTTTCCTCAATATATTTAATCATCAGAGTAGACTGGCACAGAATTCACCAGGTAAGTGAATAGGTCTGTCTGAAGTATGCTGAAGCCAGTGCTGCTTTGTAATACTCATTAAAGCAAGGAACCTGGAGTCCCTGTACTTGGTCTGCATTCCAAACACATTAACTTATATGCAAACTCATCAGAAACGAACGTAATTGGTATGTAACAGTTTTTGTATAATGAAGTAATACTTCTGAGTTTTAGAAATTTCTTTCAGTTTCTCAAATATTCAGGCATTATTTTTGCATTTTATTATAGCGTAAGTTAAACTGAAGTTGGCAGTTAGATACTCCGTTCTATAAGTAAGAATTCAATCAGTCTGTTTCTCCCATTTCCTAACTGAAAGTATGAACTGCATTCTAAAAGACCAGATATTATTCCAAAGGGCTGAAAGTTGTCTCAATATCCAGCTCATTTCATAATATTTCAGAGCTGCTAGCAGTTGTCTGATTTATATAGTTGGTAATGTTTGCAGTTATTTTATACACATACATACACAAGTGTGAATGTAAGTATAAAACATCTTTTGAGAAAAAGTGGTAAAGAACATATTTGTGTTAATTTTGTAAACTTAATGGTTTAGAGGTTAAGATGTTAAATTGAATGCTGACTTCAGAAATGTATATCCTGAGCTGTGTTTTTCTCTTTCCTGATTTGCTCTTCATTTTTTAAATTTTCACATTTTGTATTTTGTTTAGCCTGTGAGAGGCTAAAATTTTCTTTGGCTATGTCACCCAATGTGGCCTTTAGTATTTCTGGAGAAGATACATAACCTATTTATAGTACATTAAAATCTAAAGTAATCATAAGAATGTCTTTACATTAAAGGTAGTTGTAACAGTGTTTAGCTAACATCCTGTATGCATTCTCAAGAAAATAAAGTTTTGTTGATACATTTGTTGTAACAAAGTACTTCATGGTGGGAAAATTGTAATGTTGCATTTATTTATGTTCAGTTAAATTAACTTGGATGAGTCCAAATACATTTAGTTCTTTTCTAACAGAAAGTAGGTACATCTTTAATAATAAGAGATAATTTGCTTTCCCAGAGAAATTTCTTATAAATCCTGTTTAAGATCAAAGTGGCAATAAAGGGTTTTTTTTGTTTGTTTTTTGCTTTTAAACTTGAGACATCAATTGCATGTTATAGCATAGTTTTTAGTAAAGAAGTTAATGACGCTAGTCTGATGTTTTTAATATTTCCCAGTATATCAGCATTTCTCATGTCAGTGAATATTTAGCAATAGCTAGTTAACTTTTATAAAATTTAGTCTTTAAAATGTCCTTAATTTCATTATCCACTTTTATTTTTTTGTAAAGCAGAAATTATTGGATAAAACTTTTTGTTTTAATGAAAGGGCATTTAGGGCCAACATCTCTGTATTTATAATATTATGATATAATTTCAAAATTAGTCCAAATTAGTGTTGCATATATTATGCAGTCATGTGCTGCATAATGACGTTTCAGTCAACAAAGGACCGAATATGTAATGGTGGTATACCATATAGCTTACCTCTGAAGAAGTCTATACTATCTAGGCTTGTGTAAGTGCACTCTATGTTGTTCACACAATGATAAAATCACCTAAAGATGCATTTCTCAGAACGTATCCGTGTTGTTAGGCAACACATGACTGTATAGGCAATCACATTTTGCCTCAGGTATGTGAAATGTATTGCTTCACTCTTGAATTCCAAAACTGCTTCTTTACACGATTTGACAATATAAGAGGAAATAATTGTATGATTACTCTTATAGTGACAGTTATCAAGCATAGAATCTAAATATAATTGTTATGATATAAAATTCTTTTGCTACTGTTTAGTTTTAAAGTAAACATTATAGCAGTCCCCAATTTTGACACCAGGGACCTGTGCTCCTATGAGAATCTAATGCCAGATGATCTGAGGTGGAGCTGAGGTGGTGATGCTAGCACTGGGGAGCGGCTGCAAATACAGATGAATCTTTGCTCGCCCACTGCTCACCTCCTGCCATGTGGCCCGGTTCCTAACAGGCCACGGAGTGGTACCGGTCTCTGGCCTGGGGATTGGGGACCCCTGTTTAATACATCTATAGCCATTTAGTTATTAAATGGATGTCTTACATCTGCAGCATAGTATTTTTTTTAGTTAAGTGGACTGTTTAATCAGCCTCAATGCTCTTTAAAGAACCACTTTATAGAGTGGTCAGAAGGGTCACTAAGTATCACAAAATTGAGAAACTATGTTTTTTTCCTCTGGTTTCTTCAGCTTTTCATGTAGCTAGGTAGTCAATGTGACAGCATCTAAGTTATGTTATCTTATTGTTAGAAGTAATTTGTTTTGAATTGGGCCACATTTCGTACAAAAGGATGATGTTTGTTATTGGTAGCTGAAGGAGAAATGAAGACGGTAATGCTGTTGATAATAGCAATGATGTATCTTGCTGTCTGTGAAAGCTGTAATTCTTTAATAAAAGTATATAGAGATTGCTTGCTTTTTATTTAAAAAAATTAAAAAACATGAATACTTACAAATAATGAATTATAAAGTATACATTTCAGTTTTCAAAATAAGCTTTCTCCTTGGGAATATTGACTTTTAAAAATACCTTTCTTCTTGGAAAATGGAAGTGAACTCAGGATGGAACATGAGTGACCTAAATTGACATAAACTTCTCCACTGTCTCTACTGTTTTAATGCCTCTAAGTAGCAGTCTAAACTACTGTATTATAATGTTTTGTATATATTGAGCAATGTGATTTTTAAATGCAGGTAAAATTATTCATTATCATATAGATTATATTTTCTATACTTCAACTTGCAATCTTTTTTTAAAAAAACCTGTATTCTTTTCTTATAGATCTGCTCTTTTCCTGTTTGTAATAAATGTTGGTCCATGTCTGTGTGATTATTCAGATTGTATTCTAAAACGCAATATGCTGCTTTTCAATCTGTAGTTTCTTAAATGCATGTATAATGTAGTATAGGGGTATAAAACAAAACAAGAATTATTTGCAAACACAGAACTGATCAAATACCTGAAAGTGCTTTGAATAATTACATGCTATTTTAAAAACAAAGGAAATATTTTCACATTTTTACTACTGTAAGTAAACTCCTATGTTAGGTTTTATTGAATTGTCTTATCCATCTTTCCTTCTATTGTAGCAGAGACGTTTAGGTGTCATTTCTAATGTCTATCCATTTTTTTCCTTGGGGGCTTTTTCTTTTCACCCAAGACATTATATAATAAAAGGACGTTTATTTGCAAAAAGACTTAGTTTATTTAGATAACAAAATTTTTTTTAAAAAACTTGCTTTCTATATGTTTTATTGATAATTTATTTTATGTTAAATGTAGGTGTTTTTAAGCAAAACCTTGTACTTCTTAACCCGATTGCCTTTATATTTTTCGACTTCAGATAGCAAAGTTATAATCTTTGCAGTCACTGGTAAAAATTGAAAAAAAAAGCTTTTTTCCTCATCAAAGACTTAAAATTTTAAGCCAGTTTCTTTATATTCTATTTCTGTATGTGCAATAAGTTATGGTATATTCTAAAAATGTGGGAAAGGCATCTCTAAACAGATTTTAATAAAAAGTACAATCTAAAGTTTGTTGTGA